ACCCTCTAGGCAGAGCCTAGGTAGGGAACATGGCAACGGCATTGCATGGGTTGAGTCGCACACCTACTCTGCAGACAGTTTCACGCAAAATGTCAAGCGCCCGCTGCGCGAGAGAGGGAGAGAGAGAGAGAGAGAAAGAGAGAGAGAGAGGGAGAGGGAGGGAGAGAGAGAGAGAGCAGCTCATCGGCCGCGAGCGCAGCATTGACAATATGCACGTCATCAACAAAGGACGAGGTGGGACGAACAGGATGGACGTCGACAGCGGCAGCAAAAAGTTGCTCCAGGGGGGGGGGGGCTTTCCACTGCAGATCCTCTGAGATCATGGTGATGTCGACAGAGGCGCGAGTGAGCCCGCTCGACAAAGTTGAACACGCCCGCTGCAGAAATGCCCCCAAGTCCCGACCCCGTTCGAGGACAAACATGTCCCTGGCTTCCGTTGACCTTCCAGAAGGCTCCCGTTTGGCTCTCCTGGAGCAATTCTAAGATGTAAATGGCCCGTGGTTTCCCCGTGCGCGGGCGCGTCAAACTCAAGCTGCAGCAACGAAGTGTGAATCAAGAGTTCTGAGTTGTCATAGCTTTCCAGAATGCGCGCCACGTCTCCATGCCCCCTGGGCAGAGAAAGCGCGAACTGTCGGATGAGAGAGTAGAAAGCATAAGAGAGGCCGAGGAATATGGCAGCGTGTACGGCCAATCTCCGCGGCACTCCAACGTGGCCAAAAGTGCGAGACGAGGCGTCGCGCGACCTGCCCGCCCCCCCACCCCCCTGTTGAGCTAGCGACAACATGTTCTGAAGCACATGCGAGGCTCGGCTCCTTATAAAGCGATGGGGAAGTTTCCCTATCGCGTTTTCTTTCATAATGTTCCTCTCGTTTTTGGCGAGAAAAACTGCCTTGGCCCCTGCGTAGCACCAGGCCGCCCGCCCGCCCTCGAACGCGGGCGGCCCCAGCCCCGCGAGGGGGACTTTGCAGAGCAGGGGGGGGGGGCTCGGCATTTCCTCTGGGGCCACCCGACACACCGCGTCTCCGAGCCCATCGGGTCCCGCAGCCGCGTTCATCGAAGCTCTGCGCGTGAGGAAACGCGCATCAAGGTGGGTGGGAAAGCAAAGGAAGTCACGCAGGGTGGCACTGTGCCCATCTACTTGCTGCTTCATGACAGGGAGCTGCGCCTCGATCCATGATCCCCCCCCTACACATCCTTCGATGGGGTCGCAATATCGCAACCTTTCGTCGTCGCGCGGTGGCATCGGCGACGGCGCCACTCTGTCATCGGGGGGCGTCGCTATACCGTCGCCAGCACCTCTCACACCCCGGTGCTCGTCACTATTGCAGGGGCAAGGGGGGGGCGCGCGAGCAGTTCTGGCGCTGATTTTTCAACGATCCCCGGGACCCCTAGAGCTTCGCCGTTTTTCAATGCCCCCGAAGTGTTCCTGCACGTGCTGGGCGACCCCTTGTGAAGTAGGCGAAGGTTGCGCACCGGCATTGAGCGCGAAGGGGAAGTCATGTTTTTTGTTTCTGCCTCCGAAACGCAACTACTTCACGCGGTTCTGCCACGCGCTTCTCGAGACACATCGCCGCCCAGGGAAACCCGGGCACGTAGAGCCAAGTCTTCGAGAAACGCAACTCCATCGACTTCGAAACCTTTCGCGAGGACGCGCTTGGATTGCGCGACGAACGCGCGAAGGGCAAACCAGAAGTACTCAGGGGGGTCGCGAGAGGAGAGAACGCGGCACGCGACTTCACGCACCCGCTGATACAAGGGATGCCAATAAGCATCCTTGTGTTCTCTAAACCATTTGGCCACATCTCCAGAGATCCATATGTTCGCAACGCGCCTCAGAATGTCGTCGACCGAAACTCCCAATGGAAGCTGCGACGTAGCAGCCGCTTTTCTGAGAACGCACAGAAGCCCCCTCCTGGCAACAACAAGCTGGTAACTAGAAGGGGAAGTGTAAGGCTGCTTCGGGGTGCTCCCTTTCCTGGCAAAACAAAGAGCCACAACCTGCCTCACCGCATCCACCATGTGAGCTGATGCTGGGGTGCCCCATGGTTTGGCGTCAATGTCCCTGAGATGTTCCCCGAAATTCCTGGGCACGGGTGGGGTCCCGAAGCATCACACTGTCGATCCTAGAAAAGACAGCACACATTCTCACGCTCGAATGCGTGTACTGAAACGTCCGAAGAACTGGGATGTAGTCACGCTATTTGGAGAAGTTGTCAAAGTCCTGCAAGACACCAACTCCTGAGGCGTTTTGCGCGAGCCATGTCTCTGTGCACGTATAACCGATGCGATGATTAGTACCTGGCGTTCTCACAAATGTAGAGTCACCATCTTGGCTGTGGAAAGAGTTGGCAGCACGCATGTCCAGTGGGCCTCTTTTCGCGGGCCTCTTCTCGCGGCCTCTTGCCGCGTGCGCCAGTGGGGTTGCATTCGCGGGAGCGTTCGTGAAGGTATTTTTTGAGCCAGTGCACGTGGAGATCTTCATCGCGCTGGTGTGCGTCGACGCTTTCTTCGCGCGGGTGCTGGCGAAAGTCTTCCTCACGTGGGTGCTCGCGAGGGTTTTCGCAGCGCAGGCAGTTGTTTGACGTCTACTTCACGAATTTACTCGCGGAGATCTTCGTCGGGCGGGTGCTTGCGGGCCCCTCCAAGCCGGCGCTGGCGGAAGGATTCCTCGTGGGAGTTCACGCAGGCATTCTTCAATAGCTGGAGGTCGTGGAGGGTTTCTTCGCGCGGGTGCTGGCGGTGTTTTCCTCGCGCGGGTGCTCGTGGAGGCGTTCTTTGAGGGGGTGCTCGCAGAGGTCATACTCGCGATGGTGAAGGTATTCTTCATGCAAGTGTTCGTGGAGGCCTTCTTCGCGCGGGCGGTCGTTGTGGTCGTCTTATGCAGGCGCCCGCGGTGGCCTTCTTCATGCGGTTGCCCGTAGAGGCATTATTCGCGGGGGGGGTCGTGTAGGCTTTTTCAGCCGGGGACCCTAGAAACTTTCTTCTTCGAGAGGCTGCTCGCGGAGGTTTTCCTGGTCGGCGACGCGCGAGTGGGTCTGAGCGTCCCTCCTTTGAGGTGGACTCATCATCTTTTAGGCGCTCATGTCGGCCCCGTCCGCTGGCGTACGCATGGCTCCGGAACGGTGGTGCGCAGTGCGGGGTCCTGACGAGGACGCACGCCATCGCTCCCTGGCATGCTGCGGCAGTGCCGGAACGTGGAGCACCATCGACGGCACCAGCAACATCTTTCAGCGGCGAAGCCTGGTCAGGCGGAGTCGACGGACTGCGGCATATACGCAGTGACGCAGAAAAACAGATCATCATTATCATCATCATCATCATCATCATCATCATCATCATCATCATCATCATCATCATCATCATCACCATCACCATCACCATCACCATCATCATCATCATCATCAACAACATCACCACCATCAGCATCATCAGCATCATCAACACCACCATCAACAACACCACCATCATCAACAACATCATCAACAACATCATCATCATCACCGTCATCAACATCATCATCGTCACCATAAGCCACATCGTCATCATCATCATCATCCTCATCCTCACTATCCTGCTTCTCATCATCGTCGTCATCATCATCATCATCCTGCTCATCCTCCTCCTGACCCTCCTCCCCATCATCGTCGTCATCAGCATCATCAGCAGCAGCCAACACATCATGCTCGTCGTCATCATCATCAGCATCATCATCACACTTACCAGCATCAACATCATCATCATCATCATCATCATCATCATCATCATCGTCATCATCATCGTCATCATCATCACCATCATCATCATCATCATCATCATCATCGTCACCATCATCATCGTCGTCATCGCCATCATCATCATCATCATCAGCATCAGCATCAGCATCAGCATCAGCATCAGCATAACCAGAACCATCGTCATCATCAACATCAGCATCATCCTCATCCTCACCATCCTCCTCCGCATCATCGTCATCATAATCAGCATCATCAGCATCATCAGCATCATCATCATCATACGCCTCATGCTCCTCATCCTCATCACCCTCCTCACAAACGTCGTCGTCATCATCAGCAGCAGCATCATCAGCAACCTCATCAGACTCGTCATCTTTGTCATCATCATCGTCTTGATCTTCACCATCATCATCATCACCATCATCTGCATCATCATAATCAGTTCCCTTAGCATCATCAGCATCATCATCGTTAACATCAGCATCAACATCATCATCATCATTAAAGTCATACTCAGCATCATCGTCATCGTCTTCAGCGTCACAATCATCATCAGCATCATCATCACCATCATCAGCATCATCATCACCATCGTCATCAAAAGCATCAGCAGTGCCAGCAGCATCAACACCATCATCGTCATCATCATCATCGTCATCAGTATCAACATCATTCGCATCCTCATCATAATCCCCTTCGTCACCCTCCTCCTCATCATCATCCGGATCCTAATCCTCACCGTCATCATCATCATCATCATCATCATCATCATCATCATCATCATCATCATCACCATCAGCATCAGCATCATCATCGTCATCAACACTAACACCATCAGGATCAGCATCCTCATCTCCATCCTCATCAATTTCCTTCTCTTCCTCCTCATCATCATTATCATCCCCACCTGCATCATCAACATCACCATCATAATCATCATCATCATCATCATCAGCATCATCAGCATCAACAGCAGCATCATTACAACCGTCATCAACATCGTCATCAACATCAGCATCATCGTCATCGAGACGTCATCCGTAGCATCATCCCCTTTCTTCATCTCCTCCTCTCACTGCTGCCACCGCCGTTGCTGTTGTTCGTCATCTGCCCATTTGGCCTCTCACGATTTCCAACCTTTCTCTGTCTCTCTCGCTCAGCCTCTCTTTCTCTCCCTCTCTCTCTCTCTCGCTCGTGCCCCTCCCCTGACCCCCAGAGGGCCTGGGTTCTCCAGCAAATCCAGTGCTCTTAGGCCGACCCCCCGTCCGGATCAGCTTTCACGGTCCAATCGAAATTGGCGAAGCGCCCGTCGCCCCTCACGGAGCTCCAAGCCTGCAGAAAGACCTCCGTGTTCGCGGCGAATCCGTCCTGCCGGGGCAGCGAAACCCAGGGCCCCGACGGATCGCCGGGCGGCGACCCGTTGTCATACTTCAGAACACAGAACCTGGACTCGGAGCCAGGACCGCACAGACGAGCAGAGGGAGAAACTGCTGACAACAACGGCTTCTCGGCCATTGCCAAAAATTCGCGCTCTACGCTGTGGAGGGGCCGCGGTTCCTTCCCACCTTGCCTGGGCACCAGCGAACTCGGACGGGCGGGCACAAGTTGCATGCGGCAAGATTTCAAGGGCCCTTAGGGGTGGTGGCGTGGATGGGGGGGCAAACACGCGCCAGAAAGTTCCCTCTTTCCCCTCAGGCGGGATCGGTGACCTGAGTCCTCAAAGCACGTTCCGTGATGGCTGTGTACACGGGAGCGGAAGACTACGTTTCCTCCTCCTCCTGCTCTTCCTCCTTCTCCTCCTCAAATTCCTAATCATCCCCCTCCTTCAACTAATGTTATTCCATCGTCATCGTCATCATCATCATCATCATCATCATCATCATCATCATCATCATCATCATCATCATCATCATCATC